TATACTTTAGACAAATATAGGGTTTGGCAGACATTCAGCTCATATGCCATGCAATCAATGATTCAACGGCTGATAGACTCAGATAACAGATGAGAGAGAGAGGAAAATTGGTTTTTGGTGTTATTGAATGGAGAGTGAGAGGAGAGACGGGAGAGACGAGGGGTCTATAATTTAATGCTGAATATGTTTGCAATGATTGGTTGTAAGCATAAAATGGATGAAACGGATGAAAGTCAGGCGATGGCCGTCCACTGAATCACTGTTTCAAACGCTATTCGCATAAAAACAAAGATTGCATTCCAGGCTATGTTTTGCAACATTTTTCTCGTCTGAATTATATAATGTATTAATAATACAATATTCGCTATCATATCAAAAGTCACGGCGAATACAGCGAACAAATTATAAGTAAATGAAATACAACTCATACTTATATAAAACATTGTTACTAAAGGCATATTTTATAGACATAGCCATTCATTTGTTACACAGCAATAAAATAATACATAAATTTTATATGAATTACTACTATTCAAGATCAACCTGTTCTTCATGTTCTCCTGTTCTCCTGTCCTTTCTCTCTATCATTTCATACCTTAACTCTATCTCTAAGACATAATTAGAGCGAAAGAAATACATTTAAGTATTCATGTCTTAACGCTCACTGACAGCAAAGTTTTTATTATTCATATAAAAATACATTTTATATAATTGTTTAACGATTTGCTGCTGAGGTATACAACTGTTAGGCAAATCATTGATTATATAAATTCAAAATTATTAACGAAAACAAATTTGAATGCAATTGTAAATTAAGAAAACTATAAATAAAACATTTTTTCGTATGAAATCAAATCTATTTTTAGTGAAAACACTGTATCCAAGGCTGACCTCAATCACAAAGAATTCTCTTCTCTGTATTATTGAGTTTTTTCAAACCTATAGTAATATTATTGTTAACATTATTACAGTATAAGACTTCAAAATTATTAGTTCAAAACATAAAAGACTTTGAGTTATGTAAAAATTATGGTTTATTTTCTATTAATAAACGAAATAAATATTTTTGAAAAACAGTGATTCTTTTGGTTTGAAATAATTTTTTTTAATAAAACAAATAATTATGAAACAAGATTTTTTGAGAACAAAGAATTAAAATGTAATTTTAAACTTCAATTATATTAAACAGAAAATAAGGAAAAGAATGGAAGGGATGGAAGGGATGAATAGATAGATTGAATATGAATTATGAATTATTGTATATAAATAAAAGTGAGACTCGTTTGAGACTGAGTTATCAAAATGTTTGTTATTTTTGTCATTATAATTAAAATACGACATCGAAATGCATGGGTTATACACAGTATATATATATTTATATATGATTTAATTGAAAGGGCATTTGTGTTTCTGATGACAAACTTATATAAATACGTTTACAACAATTTAAATTATTATTTAGACGAGAATTATTATAAGTTTATAAATGTATTGTGAAAAATAAAATTAACATTTAATGAGTATTGAGAAGACATATCGTGTAATTGGTTTCTAAAGAATGAGTTTTAAGAAAAATTGTTACTTTCAATGATTATGTTTTTTAATCAGCAAATCATACCAATGCTTAACCCGGAGGACAACTACAGAATACATTTTGATATATCATATAATATATAATACAAAATTGTTTCGTTACTAGTTTTTTAGTCTAAAATACTCGTATACATAGTGTTTTCGCTATACTTTTTCGCTATACTGTGGTATTGATATCATAATGAAGTAAATATATTTAATTTGTTTTATTATTAGTTGTTTTGTTGCAAAAACTTCTAACTATAATATATGACAATTGGAAATAAATTTACAGTAAATATGAGTCAAAATACTGCATATCATTATATCATTTGTGTAATTAAAGCAAATATTACGTATACTTATTGAATGTACGTCTCGTATAATAATTGTAATTTAAATATAATAATAGCTTAACTTATAATCAAATAGTTTAGTAAATAATGAATTAATTTAAAATGCTCATCAATTGCACGTCAAAGCATTTTTCGTATACTTGCGAACCATTCAAATGCTAACTACAAATCATCTTTAGGTTATCGTTCATATAATTCATGACAAGTCTTGTACTGTATTTATAATATTTATATATAAATGTAATTAATGCTGATTTATATCTTAAAATTTAACTCAAAAAATAAGTTCCAAAACAAACAAATCTGAAGAATCCGATGCTTTATATGTGAGGAACACAACAAAACAAAAAATGAAAACTAATTTTTCTGACCTTTTCTTCAATTTAAGCGATGATTTTGAATGAAAAACACTTATGTTTTACTAGAATTGTCAGCACTGGCTGAGGATGAGGTGGATTGCATTTTGCTGGCCTGCGCCTGTCTCTCCTGTTCGTTCAGCTCTTTGATCGCTTGGATCTCTTTCTTCAGTTTCATTCTTCGGTTTTGGAACCATATCTTGATCTGTCGTTCCGTCAAACATAACGAGTGGGCCATTTCTATACGTCGTCTTCGTGTCAAGTAGTGGTTTGTGTGGAACTCCTTCTCGAGCTCTAGTGTCTGGTATCGAGTGTACGTCTGGCGACCTCTCCTCCGAAGACCATTAGCACCGGCGAGGCCTACGTTGAGTCGGAATACATCCAAATTAGGCAAAACAAGTATACACTATAACACTATATCCACTCAAAGTAATGTGATCTCTGTTTTCGTTATATAACTCTAAAGTTATATAACCATTGCTTCGACTTTTAAAACGCTTTCTCACAAAACAATTTCCTTTTGAAAGTATTGTAAAAATTTTACTTTTACTGCAAAAACAGATCCTCTGTTTGTAAAGAAGTCATAAACTTTGGGAATTTAAGGCGGTTTTACTCATTTGACTTTGACTTCAAGTGACAGTTGGGGTATTGAAGTGATAGTGAATGTTATATTATGGGCACAATAGCCTTCATCCACACTAATACCTGGCAATTGGCTGACTCTACATATAATACAAATTCATGCAAATCTTATGCAATAAAATTAAGGTCCAGAGAAGAGACAATTTTCACAAAACACAAACCCATCACTCAGTCAGTCAAAGGTCTTCACTCATGAGAGACACTTTCAAATACACCTTTTGTCTCATTTCGTTATCTGTGAATATTTCTTTCAAATTTCTTAATTATTATTATTTATACTGTTTTTACATAAATAATTATATAATTTTGATATCAAAGCAGGTTTTAAACATTTAAATGACTTGTTTTTATGACAATTTTGTGATAAGCCTTCTGTGAAAACTAATTCATTGAATAATGAACCAAAAGAGATTTGTAAGTATTTTAAATGATATTTGATAATTATTTCATTCACTTATACTTTCTATCACTTCAATCACTTATCCATATTTGACATTAAATTCTTTAAATTACTACAAGTCTTTTAATATTACATTATTTAGCTATTTATTTCTGGTAATTTCTATGAATGAACAAAAATTTAAGCATTCATTTTTTATTATTCAAAATATAATTCAAATTTTTATTTAAACTAATGGGAAATTTGTTAGAATTGATAATTAATTCAGGAATAAGTGAATATCAAAATTATAATTTCAAATTTAGATGTGAGGCCTAATAGAAGTGAGGCCTAAAACAACTACATGTATATAATATTATTATATTCAATGTCTTACCATTAAATGTACTTTAATTTTAAAATTAAGTAAAAAATGAGATAAAACTCAATAAACTTATTAGAATCTCATTACAACTATTTATAAAAATAAATTTTATTAATAATAAGAAAATAATTTACATATTTAAATTTGATATTAATATAAGTGTTTAAAATTAAAGGCAATTTCGAGGCAATAATAATGTTTTGGTGAGAATTAGTTATTATCATAAAAAGTAATGTCTTAAGCGTTACGGGACTGGGCTTTCAATGACTCTCCTTAAGAATGATGTTCAATAAAACATTGCTTTATTGCTATAATAATTATGAGTTCAGTTATTTCAAAGGATATGCCATAAAACTTATAGCCATTGCCTTACAGTCTATTATAATAAACAAAGTATCAAATTATAACATTATATTTCTTATACACAAAGCAAACACTAAAAACTTTTGGTTCATTCATTTTTCTGTCAATTAATATCTAATAATATTTTAATTTTGTTTAATTTTTCTGATTTTTAAAATAAATATTTAATTAAATATTCGCATAATCGTAAACTAAACCAGATTTTCAACCATTTTCACTTTTAATGCACAGTTTAGTAATTCTCTCTCTCTCTCTCTCTCTCTCTCTCTCTCTCTTTCTCTATGTTAAATAGATGTGCGTTCGCACTTTTTAAGAAATCTAGACCCCTTTCCCTTCTATGTTAACACTTGTTTGCATGTAGTCATTTAAAAAAGTACGTTTGCATGTTCCTTTACCTTTATATTTACTCAATATTTGTTATTAAAAAATTAACTTTGTTAACAGATTAACCCCTTAAATTATTTTAATGCAAACGTTCCTAAAGTCTCTTTACCCCCTCCCCCTCGTTTGCAAAAGTTCTCTTTGGCCGACACCCCCTTCTCTCAAGTGCCAACGTACTTTGTGAACAACGCCTAAATAGTTGTGTGCATATATAGTTCGGGAAATAGCTATACCAACTACCGTATTTAGTAAAGTACTCATTCAATGCAAAATATATTTTTGAATTAAAACTTTAACACCATTAATAATGATCCATTATACTGTATCTATATCTATAATTTGTATATAACGCGGTCAATATTAAATTTTTCAATAACTTATTATTTAGAATATTTATTAATATTTCATCTATTTTATTAAAATTTGAATTACATGAAATTGATTATATGAATTTCTCTGTGCAAGAGAGACACATCTCTGAATGCTTTCATAGCTGTACATGTATAGCAGATAGACTGACCAGATGGGTTTTGCTAAATTCTGGATTTTCATTAAAATTCTGATAATATTCCTGGACAAATTCTGGACAAAAAGTGGTCCAAACCTTGACTAATTCTGGACAGGTTTTTAAGCAATAATAAAATATTTTATTCATGTTTTTAAGACGATTTTAGTTTATTTGTGATTGTACATTTTATATTTTTACATTACGTTATTTGATTTAAGATATTTAACAATTACACATTTAACAAAAACACGATAAACTTAATCACAATTAAAGCTATATGCTAAAATTAGACTATTATGTGTGATGTTTTGCTTGAAAATATTTACATTCATTGCTATCATTCACACGTGAAAACCATTAACGTTATGTATAACTTATGTTTATATAATAATATATTTAATCAGGTAATTATATTTAAAAATATTGTACGCAATTCGTATTATTGATAGTATTGGTAATTGGTAATACATCGATAAACTTTCATTAACAAATATATTTTTCCAACAGAGAATTTTATATTGATTATTTTAAAGTGTAATTGTATATGTATTGTATAAGCATTTGGGCAGTACGTCATGAACAATTACCTTCAATAATAGCACTGCTAACAAATACTGAATGCAGTTTAGAGTAAACATTTACAGTAAAAATTTTCACTTGATCATTCCTGGACACTATAATGTCAGGGTTTACCCCCGCCCTGGACACTGGACAAAGACCTTCATTCCGGGACAATCCAGGCCATTTCTGGACATCTGGTCAGTCTACGTGTGAATACAATATAAATGTACTATGTAATTTTAATATGCATGATTTTACGTGCATGCCATTTGCATTTTTGCAAAATTAAATTAAATTAAAACTTTATAAAATATTTTTGTTATTTATTGTAAAAAATATCTTTACATTTATGAGAACGATAATAAATTTAATAAACTAGTTGGGAAATTGTTTTACAGCAGAAATAAAATCACACTACCCTATTAAATGTGATAAATAATAAAACTTTATATTAGGATTAGGTAATTTGTTAGAAAAAATTCATAAACTAATATAGTGTAGTCTATGTTATATAATATATGACTGGCATACATTACCATTATGCAAAACAAATTGACTAATTTATTTAAATAACGAAAAATTGTGCTGACCAAAATAAATTTAGCATAATTAATTTAATTTAAACCTCCATTAACAAATATTTATTATATTAACTACTAACAATAAATAAGTCTGCCATATGGATCAGATATCAGTAAAATTAATTAATCTAGCTGGTTTTAATCATAAAAATTATTGTATATACCATCAGCACTGGGAATATAAAAACAGATGTACGGCAATAAAATACCAATAATAATGATGATCATAATAATAATACCATAAAAATTTTGAAAATCCATTAGGGCACTTTTATAAGCCACTAATTTATGTCTTAATATAATATATACTGTAAATAAATATAATATTTATGTATTTCTTGTTTCAATCGCACGAGTATTTCCTTAACGGAACACCAGATGAGCGCAAAAATTATTACTATAAATAAGATCTCCATCTTTTTTACCTCTCTCTCTCTCTCTCTCTCTCTCTCTAACACTCTCTTTCTTTCATATTCATAACAAAACTAAAAACCTTTGTAAAAATAAGTCTGTTTTGAATGATAATAGAAATGGTTGAACTAAACGGCAGTTTTGGGTCAAAGCGGGTGCTTATATAAGGCATAATACTAACAATTGTATGTCATATTAGTTACCAAACAATTCACAAAAATGCAAAACTAATAATATTTGGAATTAGATTGAGTTAATAATTACCTGCAATAGCCATCCAGGGGTAGAAAGCATTGGGCGGACCCCCGACTGCTGCGCCCGACATCGTAGCCGTATTACAACAACCGGTGGTCCAGTCGGCTATAGACCGGGAACAGGCGGCCACCGCTGCCGCGTCATAGTTTCGCATTTCAGCCGACATTGTTGTGGATGAAGGCGATGGCCGTAAAGAGTTAGGCCAACCGGCGTTCATCTGGTGATCGCCTGGAGTTTTAAACCCATTTTGCTCTTTAGTTAGACCACACTCTCTGAGCCCTTCGCTCTTAAATGGCTGAGCGCTGGAATTGTCGTATAGTTTACTGCTCTCGTAGTTAATGCCGTCCGACTGAATGCCCGTTTGACTGGACCTCAGGTTCGCGGGGTATGCAGTGCTGGGCATCAGTGATAGCGCCGATTGCGATGCAAAGGAGCGGTAGGCCGAGTGTGCCTGTTCCTGAACCTGGTTATAGAAACCACTGGTCGCCGATGAGTTGTGGTCAAAATAGGCCGCATTCATCATAATTGCCACAAATATGATGAACACAACGATCGCTATACACTTTTCACACCAAATAACAGGTATTTGACAAAAGTATTGCTGATATTAAATATAAAAAGTGAAGAAAATGTTGTTATTGTGGATCGTTTGCTGCATTCATGACGGGATGCGATGGTATATAGGATTAAATGGTCACAGCATTAGAGAGAGTCAGACCTGTCAGTGCTTCTCATAGCCAAGAAGTTTGGTTGCGATGGTTTGCGGCGCCCATACAAACAGGGCTTTCCCGGAAGGCTGAGCTCAACCAATCAGCGCCGGCAGTCGTGCCAAACATCACTGCCATCGCAGTTATGGTGTGCTCTGAGCACAGCCACAGCGGACGGCCCCAGACTTTGCTTCAAATTTAATAAATTGCTTTTCCATATAATATACAACTCATACCAACTGAGACTCAAACGCACAAACATTCATATAAGTCATGTATAAGCGATATTCTCCTTTCCCTTCCCATCCCTCCCTTTCCCCACAGCTTCCACTCATCTCTTTATACAATTACATTATATTCTGCTGTCAAATGGCTTTAAATGCCGGTTCACTCGGACTCTCGAGTGTCGACCGACAAAGAATTACATAATTATAAGCTGTAGTCGTATTGTGCGGTCATTTGTTCAGTCCTTTGCTTTTTTGTAAAATGTATTTATTCTCTGTTAATAATACTATTTTTTGGTTACCCATTATGTATGCAATGACTCTCACCTGCGGCTAAACTCAACATTTGCCATATCTGTGGCTTTATTTGCATTCATATAACTGCTAAACAATCGACTTATGAACTCGTTTTCAAATAATTTATTTATAAATAATTCTAAATAATGCTTATATACTGTATTAAATCAATAGTTTAATGCAATTCATTCACTCTTTCTTTGTTTATAAAATTACAAATGAAAATTTTAATTAATACTAAAATCAAATAATTCTTCAAATTATAATGCAATTTAATTATATAAATATTCTTTACTGACACCAACACACTATTCATGTTGTCATTTATATTTAAACAACAAAAAATCATTAATACATGTGTATTAATAATTATTAATATTTCTTGATATCGCAAATTAATCATTAATTGATTATAAAGTGGTTAATATAAATGATGCAGTAATTAAAGCATGTGTTTAATATTTTTGTTTCATAAAATCATAATATCTATTGTAACTGAATATATAAAACATCACAACAATTCTAACAATGGATAATGGTTGCCATTATCATTTCAATAATAGCCATTGCATTACTATTGTCAGCTAAATTCATTCATGGTCGGTCAACAACTTTTATGAAACTTAGGTTTAACATGGATCTATTGTAATCTTAAATAACAAATTAATTTATTAATGAAAACAAATTCTAATCTCATAGAATTAACAATATATTATTTTAATGTTAATTATTAAACATTTTAAAAATCAATGTAATTATATTTTTGATATAAAAATAAATATATTTTAATAGAAACACATTTTGTTAATAATTTTAAAGACTTAAAAAATCCAATAATGAGATTCAATATTGGAATCATTGCTTTTCCCCGCATTCTATACCCCCAGACATGTAGCGAACTCTACTGCAGTTGTATTCATACAATTCTGGTTCTATTTAAATTGATTTTCCAGATTATATAATAAGATTAAGCATTGTATTAATCATTATTACAATATTAACATGATTAAATATTTGGTTCATATTTTCATTTATGCACTCAATATGCTAACAATTGATTTTAATATTTACTAGATCAAAATAATTATTAAAGGATGTAAAAATGCCAAACAAAACATGAATGCAATAATGACAATTATTTGATTATCTAGGGATTTCTTCTATTATGCTATATAAATTATAATAATTATTTAAAATATTATATTTTATAAATATTATTTTCTGTTACTACAAGAAATATTTTTAGATTTATAGACATTATTCTATACAAGCGTACAAAACGAGTGAATATTTAGTTTGAGTGAATGTAACTATATTTCAAATTATATTAGTCTTGACACCAATTGTTTAACAAATAATATAATTTAACAGTTAGTTTATTGTTTAAATATGAATTTTAGCAACATTTCAATTCAAACTTGTGGTTTATAAGAGGGACCTCCCATTTATAGCTTTGCATACAATACTTGTTTACTATTAAAACAATATTATAATTTACGATACCATTTCAACATGATAAATATATTTATGTATTCTTACTTTTATTATGACTATAAAAGCGTTAATTCATAGTAATATTATATACAGAGTATATAAAAATAAAATTGTCTTTTGTTTGATTGTCAGTCAATTGGTTTCTTTATTGAGTGTTTATTTACTCGATCGTCAATATAAAGGGATTCCTAGTAAAGTCCTACACAACACAACATCCCTTTATTCTACGTTATGTTTAACTCGTATGTTTACAAATCAATATTTTACCCCATGTTAGACCAATTGTCTTTAGTAACCGTATGGATGCCTGACATAATTCTCATAGGACTTTATTGTATTAAACAATACATTTGAACAAGTAATTTTTTGATAAAACATGTTTTTAATTGAGTTTGTATTTACATTCACCAAACTTTACACAACAGAATATACAATTGCATTATTTGGCATTTGTTTGAAAGCAAATGGATTCGATGTAATCATTGTTTAGTTGATTTCAATACAAATATTATATAATATTACACTCAATCTTATTAATAAAATATGATTAATGTAAACTCATTGTGTATTTATGTAAAATATAAATTAATTTCAGAACCTTGTTTGCAATGTTGAGGCTGTCTTTGATATAAAACCAATAATAAATTTATGATTGCAATACATATAATAAATATTATTTTATTTTCAAATTATTTGAAATGCATTTAACCCTAATGTAAATCATTCAACCGTTGTTTCTAGTTTAGGTAATTCTTAAAACTATGATATATTCTATTTCAATAGAATTTATGATAAATTTAAATAATATATTTGGTTATAATAGTGGTCACATGGTCTAATTTGGCAAAGTAACTCATATTTATAATTTTATTGTTTTAATTCTAATTACAATATTGATAAACAAGTAATTGAAACAGTTCAAAATTTGTTTATAATTAAATATGATTAATCTTATAATTAAATAACTTTTATTTATCATTCTATTGAATGTCATTTAAAATAAATGAATTTTTTAATTCTAAAAATTAATTTAAATAAGTAATAGAAATAAGAATAAATATTTATTTTAGTTTAAAATATAATATTAATTGAAAGAATCAATTAAGTTATAGAAGAGAAAAATAAGCTAATAATAAATGTGGAATATTTCGAAAGTGGTAATTATTTTTGTCTGAAAAATTTTTTTCTAAAACACACTATATTTTATAGGTTTTTGGGGAATAGAATAGCAAACCATTGAATGCCTTCTTTATAATCGATTTCATTACTTGAACCCAAATTTCAATTGAAAACTAAATAGAGATTTGAAAACTGATAGACATTTGGGTCCCCTTTTAGTGGCTTTTCTCTCCTTTCTTCCCGTTTTTGTATCATTTCATCTCTTTTTTCGTTAAATTTCAATGAAATAAATGAAATAAAACTATATTTATCTTTATATTTGATTGGTTTCGCTTTGAATTTCAATTATTTTTAAATGATATCATTTAATAGATTTTAAAATAATTAGCTTTTAGTTTTCAACGCTCTCTTAATTATTTATAGTAAAATAACTGAAAATAATATGATTCCCATTCATTTCAGCTAAACATGTATTGTATTATTTAAGCATTTATAATCATTTATTTTTAATTAATGCAACTTATAAACACAACAAATATATAGTCTGTAAATTACTATAAAAATAATTATATTAATCAATTAAAATATAGAGTGATGTGATTACTGTTATGATTTACTTACAACTAATTAATTGTTTTAAAGTGCATTTAAATGTATTATAATTATAATGTATTTGTGTGCAATTTTCAATAGAGTGCCAAATTTACCATAAGAATAAATCTATCGTTATTTAATATTTAATTATTAAAAATAACAAAATTTTATACATTCATTACATCATATTTGTAAAGATTATCAAAAAAGTATATTTTAATATTTTTGTAAATTACTGAGACTTTGCGGACAAACGAATCATATAATAAAATCATTTTAATAAAGTTTTATTTTAATTTTACATATACATTATTTTAATTTGGTTTAAACATAAAAACTAGTGGTTAGTGCTTAAAAATAATATCTAAAATAAAAATGACCAGGGATAGGTAGGAAATGTTATTAATATAACGTAGTTTTGAATGATACTAATTTTTACATTTTGTCACAATTCAGTTAAATAATATGGTTTATGAGATCTCGCGGCACATCCTTTCTCCTAATGAGCCAATAGTACTCTAATTTAGTTTCTGTTAATCATATAAAAATGGAAATAAATAAGATAAATCTATGATGCATCTAAGGATCATGATGCTATACGTTAACAACAATTAAGGCGATGCTCAAAGAATAGATTAGCATTGTTATAGACTCAGCATTGTCCATATAATTAGCATTAATTCCATAGATTTAGCATTGCCCATGTTAAACCTACGTCATAGACTTAAGCTGTAAACCCATAGAAACCAATTGACAATTTTCATAGGATAACATTAGGCCTACAGTATGTCAAACAAATGTGTTAGACTTTACATACGCTACTTATCGAAAATTAATTTTATAATTTTAGTTAACATTCCTAGACACCAGAATTGAAGTTTTATGAAGGTAGAATGATTAGCCTTTATACATTAAATTTTTAAACCAAGATAGGCAACATAATTTATTTCTATGGGAAGGTCTGTTTTTGTGATTACCGGCGATTGAAATGGCATGTAAATTAATCATGCTCAAACAATAATAGAGATAATAGAAAATCCCTACACTTTAATATCGTCAATATATCACGTCTACCACATCTTATTCAATGGTCAACTCTGACGGGTGCCTCAACGGTGACCACTTAATGACCGGGAGTCGACCGATTGGCGTATGAGTTGGTTGTGTTCGCATTGGATTACAGTTATAATTAATGTCGTGATAACTGCTCTAAACTCTTATCGGATAACTAATAGTGAATCCCAATAACCAAATAATAACTCCAAACATATCTATTGTAAAAATATTTTAAATCTAAAATTATGTTTATTCTCGG